GAAATTCGATAATTGGGTACGACTTGAATCAGCATCTGATAAATCTTGACATCGAAGTTCAACAGGTAATTCTCTTAACCATCTTGTCAATTCTGAACGTATTTGTCTTAGCATGAATTTTTGATCATTTGCATGAAAGAGCCAACTTTCACGAGAAGCTAGAGACTGAGAAGAATAACCAAACTTCCAAATTAGGCCAATTATACGTGATAGCTTTATCCATGCTATAAAGAATTGTTTTGTTGAAGTTTCAAATGAAGATAAAGCAGGTAAAGGAACGTTGATATTTATATCATCAATGACGATAGGTTTTCCAAATCTGAAAGATGACCATCTACAATAAAAAGTAAATAGTCAATAGTAAAAAGGTTATTAACAATAAAGATAATAATAATAAAGATAATAATAAAGATAATAATAAAGATAATAAAGATAATAATAAAGATAATAATAATAATAATAATATGCACCTCTCATGACAATAAACACAGTAGAATATTCTGCGTCTTTCTTCATTTTCATCTGGAGGTAGAGAGGTATCATTTCGTTCAAGGTGTAATATATGAGCCATTTGAACTAGATATTACGGCATAAATAAAATTAACGGCAATTAAACATATGCATAAAAATTAACATACAAGCACATAGCATGTACGTACCTGCCATGCCAAAAAACATTGATTCACTATGAACGCGTGTTGTGCTACTCTCAGCATGTGCCAAAAGTAGTAGTGTCTGAACAGTTTCCAAGCTTGGAGCATTATATTTTGTATCCAATAATTTCTACATAAGTAATGTATACAAATGTTAAAATACAAATGTTAAAAAAATCAAATAAGTCATACCATCACCAAAAGGCCATCAAAGAAGTTCATAAGTAAACATACCTTGGCAGAATCGAAAAATACCCCACCGGCTTTATCCGGAGTTTTTTGAATAGAAGGATCATCAGAATACTTTGATGCTGCCACTGCTAAAATTGCGCACATCAACATCTCTGAATTTTCTTTATTATGATAACTCTGTTGAACGCTAAATTTTTGACGTTTAACAATGGGTATATTAACATTGAATTTGGTAAAATAGTCATTTACCAACTGTTTACATAACTCTTTGGATGGAGTGCAAAGAGGTGTAACAGGAGTATTTAAAGATTTAATGGAAGAATGTATCATTGTGTTTTGATTTAAATTATTATTAACGTGTTCACCTAAAAAATTGGGATAAGTATGATATAAAATAATATCTATTGGAGAAGTTATTTCAGGAGATTTATTAACAAGAAGTGGAAAATAGAGAATAATAGAAGATAAAATGTCATCTTCCGAATAGGATAAATTTGGAGATAAATTTGGAGATAAATTTGGAGATAAAATTGTGAGATAAATTGTGAGATAAATTGTGAGATAAATTGTGAGAGGATTTATTTAAAAATATCAATTCGACAACTTTTTTAAGTCTTTGCATATCATGACTGGTCAAAGATTCTTGGTTATCGTTGTAATGTTCAACAGAAGAAATCAAGTCTTGTGATTGAGATGGTTGAAGCTGTTGAGGATAAAATTGATAATTATATTTAACAATAGAATCAATTTGGTCCATCTTGATAAATGTAACTAAACAAAATAAAAACGTTTAGAGGGAGTTGGGAAGGCAGCATAATTGCCAGATTGAAATGTAAGATGGTATATTTATACGAATCCATAATTGATCATAATTGATCTAATTTGATTGACATGCAGTTTTTTTTTTACAATCATATATACGTATAACATATATATAAATTATATGCAATGTATAGTATATAATATACGTATTGATATAGCATAATACAAAGGCATACCGATACTGGATCAGTTTGTCATCACTCTTATGTGACATAGATTTACTAAACGCATATATTATTAACTTTAAATATAATAAACTGATTAGCGTGACAGACAGAATGCTCACGTTTTAATAAATTTACGTAATTGACATAATTTTTTGGTGTTACTCTCTATGAGTTCTCGCGTAATAAAAAATGCTCTAGTTTTTTTTGTACGTAAACATATCAAAAATGCAGATTACGTAATGATAGTGAGTTTTTTTTAGAAGACTTAATTCAAGTATGGCTTGATTTCATAATGCATGAACAATATCATCTACTTTTTTTTATAAGTTAGAATACGTATACAAGGGTCTTGATGGAGGTTTGTTATTGCACATACGTACATATAAGTACTGAAGTAAAAAGTCGATTAAAAATTGATCTACACATTACTGCATTATATTTATTGAATTTTCTTGGTTCTGATTACTTGCGTCACCTCTCGATTACCTAATTCTTTGAAAAATTCCGACTTTTTTCGAAACGTGATTAATTTAATTTATCACATGATATGTCAAAAACCATATATTTTGGTATTTCTGTCACTTTTGAATTTGTCCGGAAATAAATTATCTATTTTTGTAGTTTATCCTTATTTCAATTTTCAATTTTCAATTCAAAATTTTAAAACTTTAAAAATATATGATGTTTGAGATGTTTAGTAAATTGAGTAGAATGAGCTGAATGTCGAATAATATGATGTCGGATAATATGATTTCTTTAAATACTATCGTTATCCTCTTTTAGAACTTAAACTGAGATCTAGATTGCAGAATATCAAATATGAATTCTGAAACTTATACTACTTATCGCACTTATTACTATATATGTATTTATTGTTTTTACAATGTTATTCGTACGTATGTACCTACATAATCTTTGTCTTTTTTTTTGTCTGCATATCTACTATGATATCTACTATGTTAACCTTATCTTTCTTTTTAAACGAGTATCCAGTACGTACTAATTTACTAATATTGGTATTAGTTTACTAATATATATTATGTACGTATTCATTTGAAATTTTCTTTGTAAACCAATCAAACTTAAAAATTTAAACCTTATTTTTCTTTCAGAAACCTTTACTATATTATACTCATTTAATATAAATTTTCCTTTTCTAATTTAAAATTTTTTAAAAATACTGCTTCTTTTTTAAATAAATATTTCTCTAAAGAAACCCAATTTAGTATAAGGAACGCCTTCGACATATATTATCCAATTATTAAACTCAAATTATGGTTTAAAAAAAAAAATTTGAAATTAATTTAATTTAAGGAATTTGTTTTAAGAAATTTGTATTTCCACTCCCTAAATCCTTGCGAATGATAAATTACGAAACCTTGCATGTTTGAACATGTTTTGATCACATACTACTCACATACTTGTTCGCAATGGTATGACAATGCCAAAAAGAGATGCGGATACTGGTTCCCTAACCAAAATTTATAAAGCACTGTATCCTTCCACAAATAATCAACATTGCCTCTTGGCTCCATTCAACCTTTAAAAAGTAATGATTCTTATTTACGCCAAGTTTTTTTTTTTTTTGTAAATAAAAATAAATATCACTGTTAATACTGAACTTAGTTTAGCGTTAACTTAGTTGTTAGTCTGTTTCTATTCTAATTTCATTGGTTAATTTCATCATCACCGAGATTTCTGCTTCATTCGAAACAATAACATACGTGACTATTATCTATTTTTGTGCATATATTAAATTATAAAACTAGGACTAGTATTAAAACCTTCATACATAATTTGATTCAATAATTAGATATCTAGGTCCTAATTATTATATGGTTAACCTTTATATATCCGAATATTGTCCGAATATATACCTATACTAACATTGTATTCATATAGTTTGCTATTTTACCATCTGCGGTGGCGATCATCACAAAGTGTCAGCATTCAAATTGCAATATCACATGTAACATAAATATTTATTCTACCTTATATCACTACGTAGATCTGTATTTCAAAAAAAGTAGAATTAGAGAATTAGATGGGCAAGGTAATTTACTTATTACGTAAAGTTATATCACATTATGCGACAATTTAGTATGTTATTAGTTGAAAGTATATATATATATATATTATTAGTAAATTGTCGCATAGTGTGATTTAACTTTTACGTAATAAGTAAATTACCTAGCCCATCTCTAATCAATCAGAGATAGTCACATGAAGATTTATAAAAAAAAAACTATTCCGATAGGTTTTTATTTTAAGCTTTCTAGTAATTAAAAAAATCGAAATATAACTTATATTCAACAAGTACCAACTAAATCAATGCTAATAAATAAGAAAACAAGAACTTAAATAGCCTATGTTAAATAAAAGATTAAAAGGGTCTCAACACGAATGAAGTTAAAATAATTAAATTTATAAAATTTTTAAACATTTAATAGTACTTTTTTTAATACATAGCATTGAGACAAAAATTGAACTTATACAGTTACATTGAAATTCAAATTTTTATACGTATTAGCAATTATTTAATCTAAAAATATCAATATACCAAACGTGAATAATAAAATTTTGATTATACAATAAGTACATTAAGTTTAATGTTACTTATCAATATTTATCAATAGAAACTTCAAAAGTAAAATAGAGTAATTTTACAAATTATCTTTAATCATCTGATATTCCTTGTGTGTTGATAAATTTGTTACGTAGTATACATAAAGTGGTGTAAACTTTTGACCTAATAAAACTTCAGGTGCGACATAAAGCATGACACCATAAATACCACTTTTTAAATCGTTTTCATAGACATTTCTAGATCTGAGATGTAAGATTGCATATTTTCACTAATGCCTTTACCCAGCAAAATATTGTGAAGGCCTGCATGAATATATTTTGCATGATGAATGTTCATTAAATACTATGCAATATATGTAAATAATACTAATAGTTTGCCAGGTAAGTTCACGAAAATTTTTTCTTAATAACTTGTAAAGACTTCAATTATCAGCGTATTAAAATACCATAATACTGTATATTCATAATATATTCATTGGTTTCTGTATTTTGTGTCAAACCATATGTTTTAAGCCTGATAACATTTATATGATTGTCAAACTGTATAAATGTATAAGTTATAATCAGTTCAATATACGCTTAATATATCGCACAATAAAGATTAACTTACTTCTTTTAAAAAATCTTGAGGATTATCTTCAGAACTAGACGCGCAACTATACTAGAGTTTTTTTAATATTATCTAGTCTATTAAATGGAATCAAATCAATTATACATTTATAATCATAAATTCTAAATTGAATCTCTTTCATGCAATTATCAATATTCTAAGTTGAATCTCTTTCATGCAATTATCAATATTCTAAGTTGAATCTCTTTCATGCAATTATCAATATTCTTATTTTCACTTGTCCATCCTTGAATTGCTATGCCAGGATCACATGTCTGACACCACGTTTTCCAATTGTTATATTCATTACAGTGTGTACATTTTCCATATTTGGGCTGACTTTATCAATCGCATTAATTTTTAAAAATATAGTTACAATAAAGTTATCATAAATATAATTATTATATTTTTATTATATAATTAATATATAATAATCATAATTATTATATCTTTAGTTTAGTAATATGATTACTATATTTTTAACATATATTAAAAAATAGAGTTATAACAAACTTAATATATATATTTAAATTATCTAATCATTATAGAAATAATATTAAAAATATTAAAAAAATTTATAATATTTTTATTATATAATTAATATATATACTATATATTATATATATAATATTAACATTAAGATATCAAAAATATTTTGTAAAATTAAAAGATTTCACAAAGTGGTTATTTCATTATGTTAGTTATTTCGCTTTATTTTTTACACTTAAATTTACTGACTAATCAATGCAAATAAATCAAGTTAAATAGTAAATATTTATATATGAACATAAATACCTTATTTTAAATACTTAAATTAATAAATAAATTATAAATATTATTTAAAATAAATAATTATAAATTATGTATTTTTATATTTAATATAATTGATAATTAACTTTTAAAGCGTGAAAAATTCGAATATATTAATGAATATTAACAAATAACTTCCTTTTTAATCCACTCATTGAATTGGTCATCGCTCTGTTTCACACTAACTCCGTATCTGTAGCAAATGTTTTGTTCAAAAATTCTGACTTCAAATAATGTACAAATGCTTTGTTCAAAAATTCTGACTTCAAATAATATACAAATGCTTTGTTCAAAAATTCTGACTTCAAATAATATACAAATACTTTGTTCTTATCGATTTCAACTCCAATTCCGTAATAATAGCAACAACGAACATGATACATTCCGTTAGAGTTATTTATCTCTAAAGAGTTTTGATAATGAATGAATGCCTGATTTCATGTTTGTAACAATAACCAAGCCAGAATATACTATCTGGATCATTATTATCGGCTGATCTTGACAGTAAATTATATCCAGTTGGTTAAAAGTATCGGTGACATGAGTAATTTCTTCTAATAAGTTATTGTCTTTGATATTTGATATTTTAAACACAAGAAATTATATACCGAAAATGCTAAATTTCCTAAATCTATATTAAATCCTGGGTAATTATTTTCGAACATGAACCAAAAGTTTTTACGGTAGTATATTGTATTTAAATTATTTAGTGATATATGATATAATTTGAACTCTGAATAGGCATGTCCGATTAATTGACCA